CATTTTCAACATCCATCATTCTCAATAGGACGTCATTTAGCTATCGCCGCAACGAAACCGCTCTCGACGACTCCATCGATGGTCCTCGCGTGATAAATCCTTCCTACCGAGAATAACGTTCTACATTATCACCAGCTACGGGTTGTCTCACTGAGATCTGTTTACCGGACCACGTCTACAGGCTGCAGCCGAGGTTGGAGTGATTCAAGTACCGGGAAGTTGCAGTTCGACGGGGTAGCAAGAGGGCAGAAGTCTGAATATCCTGACTGTCGTCCGTGTTGAAGCTTTCTCGCCTTGAATCGGCGCATACACTTTCTCTTTCATCGGAGTTTTCCAACGAAGGGACCTGTTCTCTGGCAGAACACAAGAGGAAACCTTCACATTCTATCACAGAGCAAAGAAATAGTCTGCCATTCTTCCAACCTCTATTTCTTATCCTTCACTTCCCTTTCGAATTTCGAAAGTAGAAATGGCTGCTACATTTTCTTACGCTCAAGCAGCCAAGGGTGTCGTTGCGACGCCATCGGCGGCAAACCCGGCCTCTACAGAGCCGAATAAGCCAGCTGTCAAGGCAGATGAGCAGAGCACAAACTCGAGTGTGCAGATGGAGCCAGAGACCACGGCTCCCACGGCAGAGCCATCTCAGGAAGCAGAGAAGGCCGCTGCCAGTACCGACAAGGACTCGGAGAGCACAGCAACTGCTCCTTCTAAGACCAATGTTTCCGGGACGTCCTCACCTAGCGTGGGTGCTTCTTCCACATCCACAGTATCGAAGGAAGAGGAGGGGTCGAATACACCCAATGGCACTACCGACTCCAACTGGGATAAGCAGTCCCAAGCTTCAGGAACAGATAAGCAGGGCAACGCTCAGGATGCCAAGGATAAATCTAGTGCTTCGTTCGACAAGGACAAGAAAGTCGCTCTGAAGGAGTTGAAAGCAGCACCCTTACCTGCGGTTAACGTTTGGCAGCAACGAAAGGAAGCTCAGGAAGCTAAGGCCAAAGCCACCGCAGCAATTAAGTCCGCTCCATCTGCTAAACCCAGTGCATCGAAAACCGCATCCGTTGCCTCGTCGACATCAGGAGATAACCATCAGGAGCTGCCGAAAACCGCCCCTAAGAAGAAGGGAGCGGACGCTACATCCGATGGTCCCAAGGACAAAAAGAGGGCCGACGGAGGCAAAGGCCGGGATGAGAGTAAGTCTAAATCCGGTCATTCGTGGTTATTTACCACGAATGTAATCACTATGGGACTCTGAGCTTCTGGAGAGGGAGCCCGCTCTAGTCCAAAATCGGCAAGCTAATCGTGATTCTGTAGATGTTTCCATCCCACCTGTGGGCGATGCCTCTTCGTGGCCTACACCTCAAGTCGCACAAGGGGAAGAGAAGAGAAAGGCTCAAGAGAAGACTGATAAATCTGAAAAGAGCCCTGTCATTCGGCCGCACGGAAAGGAGAAGTGGATGCCTGTTCCTTATGTACCAACCGCTGTCTTCAATACGCCTTTGCCATCATCTGCGCGCAGGGGTGGAAGAGCTGGACGAGTCGGAAGGGATGGAGCTCGTAATGCCACTCATGGTGCGCCTGGTGCTGACAAGGCAGCTCAAGGTTCTACCGCTAAACAGAATGGCGTTGGAGACAGAGGCAGAAATGAGCCCAACTCCGCTCGTGCTAACTCTCTACCCGCCCCTTCGAAGCGCGCTAACAGCGTTGACGCTGGACTGGCTGATTCCCGCAAAGGCACACAAGCTGCTGACCGAAACCGTGCGCCTAAGGGAGCCGAAAATGTGAATGGGTTGCCGGCTCCAAGACAAGGTGGTGGGAATGAGAATCTCCCACCACGACACCGCGGCGATGCCAAGCCTTTCGCGAGAAACCACGATGCAGCCCACAAGGGCGGTGATAGCACGTTGAAGAGCTCACATCCCTCGGCCGACACGCACACTGGCCCTCGCGCTAGCTCAACTCACGACCGCCGCTTCGAGAATGGACCGAAGTCAGCGGACCTGGCTGGTTTTCCCGGGGATCGCAAAGAGAAGGACTTCTCTCGCGAATCCCGTGCAGACAGGGGCAGGGGCTCTCACCGCGGCCGTGGAGGACATTCTGGCTTCACCGGCTCGCAAAACTCGCAGTTCCCTAACAATCATATGGGGCACCATTCATTCGTCCATCCCAAGTCCTTCGGATTTAATGAGCGTCAGCGATCTCATCATGGCCTTCCTAACGGCTCTCAACAAGGACATAGAATGTCTCTGAGATCGCCTTCTCTGCCGAACTCTGCTTCTATGTATGGCGTTTATCCTTTCCCCGCCGATATCAACACTATGTACGGTTATCAACCGATACCGGCTGGCCCAATGACTGCTGTTCCTTATCAACCGTACATGGAACCGTTCTCTCTCATGAGCATGATCTCGATGCAATTGTAAGTTGTGCCTTTTATTTTTATCGTGTTGCTCTTGTGATTCGCGGCAGAAATTAATCCTGGCAGGGAATATTACTTTTCTGTCGACAATCTTTGCAAAGACCTATTCCTTCGCAAGCAAATGGACTCTCAGGGCTTTGTGCCACTGTCCGTCATTGCTAGTTTCAAACGCGTCAAGACACTCACCGAGGATTTCGAAATGCTGCGCCATGCCTGCCGCCAAGTGAGAAACGTTGAGTATCAGACCGGCGAGGATGGCATTGATCGGTTGCGACCAAGAGACAAATGGGAGCAATGGGTTCTTCCCGTCGAGCAGCGCGATCCTTCGGCTCAGAATGAGGGCCCGTCTCTCTCAGCTGATGCTGGAAAGTTTGATGAGCAGAACCACGTCGAGGAAGCAACAAATGGTCTCCCGAACGGTAGCACCGAGCCTCAGGTCTTGAAGACCTCACTATCTTCTACCGCGCCAGAATTCTCGCCGTCGAACCCAGTAGTTCTCCAGGCTGAAATCGCAAATGTAGGGATCCCCATTGATGACCGTCCCTTCTCATATGATAAAGTTGAGAAGTTGATAGACGTGGTGCGCAGGCCAAAGCTCTCTTGCGTAGCATGGCTTCAGCTTCTTGACAATTCCCCCCTCCCCCCCTTTTTCAACGGATCTGTTGACACTTCTAGGACAGCGGGCGGACTAGCTCCCTCTAGTGAATTATCCCTCCCTCGTCCCACTGTCTCGACGGCAAATGACATTAGGTATGCTTCACCTTTCGTGCTTCCAGTGGCGTCTTCTCCCACTCCTCATTGTACTAATAGTGAAACAGTCAACTCGTGAGTGATACGGCACACGATAGTCTTCACCAAGATCCTTCGTCGACACTGTGGGATGGAAGACAAGATTTCAACCCAGTCTCCTGCTGTCCTCCGATGATTTAGTTCACGAACCTTACAGTATTTTCGAAAACGAGTTCTTTACGAACAAAACTAACGCCCAATCAAGATGATGACCGCGAGATGGATGCCCCGTACCAATTCTGGTCACATTTCTTGGTTTCAAATTTCAATGCACAAATGTACAATGAATTTAAGAGTCTAGCGCTTGATGATCTCTCTTTTCGAAACGCCAGCAGCGGGTTCAACAGGCTCGCCCGGTTTTATGGTGCTTTTTTGTCGAGCAAAAAGATCCTCCCTGATGAGGTGGTCGAAGACCCCCTTGTTTTATAGAGGGGGGAATTGTCTAGCCACCTGAGAACACATGGCTTTCGACACTCTACGTTCGGCCTGGCATAGTCAAGCTTGCGACGCAGGAAATCGCCTGAAAATCGACAGCCTTCTCGATGCTAGCTTGAGAGCCGAGCTGGAAAAGTGATTTTGTTATTCTTCCTTTTGCTTCTCCCGTCCTTAACTTTTTTTCGTGCTTCTCTATCATGACTTGCATCACTACATCTCAGCTACTGCATTTACTTTTTTTTGTGGCGAGTTCCCGCTAATCAATTCCCAAGACGAGATGGATACATATTATTCGGCATCTCGTCGCTTTGTTTTTCTTATTCCGACGCTCCCGTTCTTTTTGCTTCAGTCATGGGAAGGGTTAAAAAACTTTTCGGAGTCCGGGCATGATTTACTGGGCAATATCACCTGTCTCTGATGCTTGCTTCTGCGGTGCGCCGAGCCTAACCGATTTCCCACGGCCATAGAGTTCACTTCGGCAACTTGTTCTTTTTCTTTTTATTTTTCTCTCTGCTTTCTCTATCCACTGCGGTAACCTGTCCCTTGTCCTGCATGCGAGTCTCCGTACGAATGGAAGGAAAATGCAAAAAAGAAACCTCAACTTTGAAACAAGCAATAATCGACTGCGCACAGGAGAAATCGGGAAGCGCCGTACGGATTCTCCTTCCAAGCACCTAGGACGACTCCAGAGATGATCTCTCCATCTGCTTTCATGGTGCCTTCTGCGGTGCGACATCTTCTCTCCAACTTCCTCTTACCCTCTCATCCTTTCTTCTATTCTGCATAAAATGGGTCTCTTACTGTGAGAGTAATGCGGCGTGCATAATACGGGTAATTGTTTGATTTTTGTTTCTCGGAACGTGTTCATTTTTCCTTGGAAAAGGGAGGATCTTTTCAGAACTGAAATAGACGAATTTCCTGACCATGTCTACAATCGTGTTAAGAGTAGGTGTTCGTATTAGTGAATTGCTTCCAGGAGCACCACTCGAAACTTCTCATCGGCTTCTCAAAGAGTCAGCCGAAGTGCGTGATGGGAATCTCCAAAACACGATTACCATAAGTAAGATCTTGCTCGTGCTCACGTCGTCATCACTATTGGAGTTACGAACAACATGCTCAAGCTCAAATCAAATGGAAGTTCGATCAATTTCCTAACAGGAAATAGTTAGAAGGAGGTAGGCGGTGACTCAGCATGACATTCTGCCTCAGGCCATCAAATCGGCAAGTGACGATCGCAGTAGCCAGCTGCACCCGAGCTTCTCCCCACGAGAGCTTGTCAGATCAAACTTGTCCCAAATACTCCCAAATTCGCTCCACACGTCCGTCGCCTATTTCTCGTAATTAATCCCTCATGATGGAAGTGACGTCCAGGCAGTCATCGAGACTGCTTCGGTCTTCCGTTCGCGGTTCTAACCGCGTGGCCCTTCAGAACCCTTGTCTTTCTGGCCCTCGCATCATATCTTCCAACACCCTGAGTACCATTCGACGGCGGAATGTCTCCTCAACATCTCGACGGACCGCGCCAGAATCGTCACTGCTAGGCTTCGGACCCGGGTCGTTGCCCGGCGGTGCACCCGCGACATACTTCTCAAGTCGCTCCGCGCTTCCCATGAACACCGTCATTCGATTCGTCCCTCAGCAGACCGCATGGATCGTTGAGCGGATGGGCAAGTTCCATCGAATTTTAGAGCCTGGATTGGCAATCTTAATCCCCTTTATTGATCGGATCGCATACGTTAAGAGCTTGAAGGAGTCTGCCATTGAGATACCGAGCCAGAATGCCATTACCGCGGATAATGTTACGTTGGAGCTGGATGGTGTGCTATATACAAGGGTATTTGACGCGTACAAGGCAAGGTGAGTCATTCAGGGGGATGGAGACAGCAGGTCGCGCAAGGGGACCTGATATTTAAGACAAGCAAGCTGACTCGTTTCAATTGTCGATCAGTTACGGCGTTGAGGATGCCGAATATGCCATTTCCCAACTAGCACAGACAACTATGCGCTCGGAGATTGGTCAGCTCACGCTAGACCATGTGTTGAAGGAGCGTGCCACGTTAAATACCAATATTACGCAGGCTATCAACGAGGCAGCTCAGGACTGGGGTGTGGTCTGTCTACGTTATGAGATTCGGGATATTCATGCTCCGGAAGGCGTTGTTGCAGCGATGCACCGTCAGGTGACGGCAGAGCGGTCAAAGCGTGCGGAGATACTCGAATCTGAGGGTCAGCGACAGAGTGCGATCAACATCGCAGAGGGTCGGAAGCAGTCCGTCATTCTTGCATCCGAGGCTCTGCGGTCTGAGCGGATCAACAGTGCTTCTGGTGAGGCAGAGGCGATTATGCTCAAGGCGCAGGCGACTGCCAGAGGTATCGAGGTCGTGGCTAAGGCGATTGCAGAGGGCAGTGAGAACGCGCACAGTGCTGTCAGCCTCAGTGTCGCAGAGAAGTACGTCGAGGCCTTCTCGAATCTTGCGCGTGAAGGAACTGCTGTCGTTGTTCCTGGCAATGTTGGCGACCTTGGTGGAATGATAGCGAATGCCATGGCAGTCTATGGCAAGGTCAACGAGAGCCAGGCGCGCTCCATTGCCGCGAAGGCCCTTGGAGTGCAGGAGCCTGCTCAGATTGAGCACTCGCATCAAAAGCCAGAAAAGAACACTTCTGAGCCCCAGCGTCAGGCTGAGTCTGAGACCGACAAGGTTGAGAATGTCGCTGATAGTGTCTTGGAAGGCTTTGACCAGGCGAGCCAACAGAGAAGGTAGAGGATTCTAAGCGAAGATGACTCTTTTCGATAACCACTTGGCACAATCCTCCAGATTTCGGGCGTTTCCTTACGCTGAAGGCATCTCCCTCCATGACTCCGTCCAGCTGAAATGATTTTGTTGGTGTACGATAATATCTCGTGACAACTTGTACCTTACCGCCTCTTGTCTTTTGCAACCATGATCCTACTTCTCAACACTATCTAGCATGTTCTCAGGAGTGCAGGCAGGAAGCCACCGTGGCGAAGAACAAAACTTGCTGTCGGCAAGTGTTGGTTGGCTTTAGCTGATTTTCCTCACACTTATTCTTTCTCTTCTCCTGTGTATAATGTACAGTACCCCAATAGTAAGGTGGAGACGAAAAGAATAACATAAAGCCTCTTATATCTCATCATCAATGCCATCAATGCAGGATATGCAGTCCATCGTCAAGATAATATGCGAGATATGCGGATAGTCCCTGCAGGCGGAGAATATGAGGAAGCTCGGACCATCCGACTCCCGCGCCTGGAGATCGCGACTTGGCTGATCAGTCCTCCTTTGTTCGCGTTGGCGTATTCTTAGATTAGTCTCCAGACAAATTTCACATCAACGGACTGGCGCATCCCTTTGCTCAATCTGAAGCTTTATTCTAGTCAGCAAATACTTCCGGGTATTGTTCCTTCTGTCATTCGTTCAATAATAATAGTTCATCATCGGCTGAGCTGCAGCGCCGTCTCTCTGCGATGCTCCAGATAACCCACAGTCCTGCATCCACGTCAGCCTACTAGGAGCCCAGCCCAGACATAGCGGTCCTACGCGGAAATCGAAACATCATTGAAGTCTGCGAGCGAAACCGCAGCTGTTGCAATGCATATTTTTAAGCCGGTTTGGCTGACCCATGGAGGTGCATTTTGTCTTCCTTTTTTCTGTTGGCAATTTGTGATACCATGAACCACACATCTTTACTTCGAAGATTCGACCTGGCTACTAAACTTGTGCTAATACTGTTTCTTGCTTGGATAGGGGAGAGAAAAGACTTCGAGGTTTACGCTTGCGACATCTCCCCGGATGGAAGCCGTTTGGTCACAGCAGCTGGAGGTGAGAAATTCCCAGACGAATCTATGGGCCAAGCCGTATGGAGCGCGGATTTGGGATGGATGCTGATATAAGCGCTTCTACCCTGGGTGCAGACGGATACGTTCGAATATGGTCTACGGAAGCGATCTATAATACGGGAAACCCCGAGTATGCAAACAAGCCCAAGCAGCTTGCGTCGATGAGCAACCACTCGGGCACGATTCATACGGTTCGATTTTCGCCCAATGGGAAGTACCTGGCGTCGGGTGCGGACGATAAGATAGTCTGTATTTATACGTTGGATGCGAATCCTCCTTCGCATGCGTCGACGTTCGGTAGGTGCTGGCTTATTTGGACCGTGGGAAGGGAGCTCGCTAACCGGTGTTGTTTTCGAAAATGCTAGGGTCGAACGAGGCGCCGCCTGTGGAGAATTGGCGCACGATACGGAGGTTGATCGGCCATGACAATGATGTTCAAGATCTAGGATGGTCGTACGATTCCTCAATTTTGGTATCTGTTGGACTGGATTCCAAGGTCGTGGTTTGGTCAGGGCATACCTTCGAAAAATTGAAGACACTTTCCATCCACCAGAGCCATGTCAAGGGAATTACATTCGACCCGGCAAATAAATACTTCGCTACGGCGAGTGACGACCGCACAGTCCGTATCTTTCGATTTACGTCGCCTTCGCCGAATTCTACGGCTCATGATCAGATGAACAACTTCGTGCTCGAACACACTATATCCGCGCCTTTCCAAAACTCACCACTTACTGCCTATTTCCGTCGCTGCTCGTGGTCTCCGGACGGAATGCACATTGCGGCTGCCAACGCAGTGAACGGGCCTGTTAGTTCCGTTGCAATTATCAACCGAGGTTCGTGGGATGGTGATATCAACCTCATCGGCCACGAAGCACCGGTGGAGGTGTGCGCTTTCTCCCCACGATTATATTCAAGTCAACCGGTCAGCAAGTCGGCGGTTGATAATCAAAACCATGCAATGCAGAATGTGACAGTCATCGCATGCGCCGGCGGAGACAAGTCACTGAGCATTTGGATCACCAGCAACCCCAGACCCATCGTGGTCGCCCAGGAGATGGCTGCCAAGTCAATCTCAGATCTAGCCTGGAGTCCCGATGGAAAATGCCTCTTTGCGACTGCCCTCGATGGTACGATTCTTGCCGTTCGCTTTGAGGACGGGGAGCTAGGCTACCCGATGGCGATGGAGGAGAACGAGAAGTCACTTACAAAATTCGGCACGAACAGAAGAGGCGCTGGTATCGCTGAAACTACTGATGGTTTACTCCTTGAGGAGAAGAGTAAAGCTGGGGAGATCAAAGACGTCGAGGGGCGAATGGGTGCTCTAATGGGCGATGGCCATGCCACAGCAGAAAGTATGGTCAATGGCAAGGCGGCACCGCTTCCGTCAAACGGTGCAACACCTGCACGAGGTCCCTCGCCCGCTCCAGATGCGCAGAAGGCCCAACCTAATGGCACCGCAGCAACACCAGCAGCTCCGGAACCGGAGAAGCCAGATCCCTATCAGGCGAAGTTGGAGAGGTTGAAGCAGCGCCCGACGTACACGAAGGAGGGCAAGAAGCGAATTGCGCCTCTTCTAGTATCCGGAGCCGGCGCGGCGGAGTCGTCTCTCCCTCAGGCACGACTCATGGCTTCGGTTAGTAGCCAAGTGAAGGCCGATGCGCCACAGTCGATTGTTGATCTTTCGAAGCCTTTTGATGGGTTACCTAAGGGTGGACTTGCTGCGTTGCTTTTCGGAAATAAGCGAAAGATCGCGCAACTCGAGGGCGATGAAGATGGACATGTGGAGAAACGGGTTGCACTGGCAAGTCAGAACGGCGCGACACCGATCCTCGCAAATACGCCGGATGGGCTTCTTCCGGCGCAGCGTCAACCTGCACCCACGGGACAGCAGCCAACGCCGGAGTTCATAAGGCCTGCTGTAACGAATCCCTGCATGGCGATCAGCCAGCTCCGTCTCGCAGTACCAAAGGTCCGCAGCCAGATCGTGCGAGCCATCGATTCCAACGGCAAGCCGACGGAAGCGCCTAGCGCTACAGGAGAGCCGGGGAAATCGCGGGCTGATGTTGTCTTCGAGGCTCGTAATCCTTCCCCTGCAAGCTTGACAGGTAGAGCTGTAGATCGCGAGCCTGTACGCCTCACGCTGTTTCGCGGCGAACAGCCACTCTGGCAGGATTTCCTCCCACGGACTGTGCTTCTGGTGACTGGTAACCAGAGCATGTGGCTTGCCGCCTGCGAAGATGGATCAGTCTACATCTGGTCGCCCGCAGGCCGGCGACTTGTCAGCGCTCTCGTGCTTGAAGCACAACCAGTGATTCTGGAATGCAATGGCCCATGGATCCTCTGTATATCAGCGGTGGGCATGTGCTATGTCTGGAACGTAAAGCATCTTTCCTCCCCTCACCCCCCTATCTCCCTCCAACCCGTGCTCGATGCAGCAATTCACACGCTGGGTGCGCACCCCTCCGCGGCTCCAGCAATCACCAATGCGCGAATCAACTCGGAGGGCCGGGTGGTGGTCGCATTGTCCAATGGCGAAGGTTACTCCTACTCGCCTTCCATGTACACCTGGCAGCGCGTCTCCGAGGCGTGGTGGGCTGTCGGCAGTCAGTACTGGAACTCCACGGAAGCTCCGGTGGGCAACCTGCAGTCTGCGGGACCGCAGCAAGACAAGGAAACCAAGGCCGCCGTCTCAGCCGGTATCATTCCGTTCCTGGAGCGCAATACGACAAATGAGACTCTTCTCCGCGGACGAGCGTACTTCCTGCAGCGCCTGATTAAAGTCCTCTTATCTCGCGAGGGCTACGAGAGCTTCGAGTCAAGTGTGTCTATAGCCCATATGGAGAACCGACTCGCCGCTGCCTTATCGCTGGGAGCTAAAGACGAGTTCCGCCTCTATTTGTCTATGTATGCCAAGCGTCTCGGAGCGGAAGGCCTCAAGATGAAGGTTGAGGAGTTGCTGAAGGGTCTGATTGGCGGCCTGTTCGAGGAGGAGGACGAGACAGGCACAGTCCGCCGGCTACAAGCGAACGAAAAGGAGGATCGAAACTGGCAGGAGAGTTCGGAGACCCTCTGTGGCTGGCCACGCGAGGTGCTGTTGAAGGAGGTGATTTTAGCCTTGGGTAAGTTGCAGTGACATTCTTTCTTTTGCACTTGATGGACATATGTCGCTAACTTTTTCTTTTCTTTCTGTCGTCAGGTAAACACCGGGATCTTCAGCGAGTGACCGTTCCCTATGCCAAGCTGCTGGGCGTGGTGGACAACGAGTCCGAAGACGATGATGCAATGGAAACATAAATCAGAGAAGAACAGTTAACAGTCTCATTCTTCCTCCATGGTCTTTCTATACGGCGTTGATGATTCGGGTTCCTTACGGCCGGCTTTGATTGAGCGGTAGCCATTTTCTTCTATTGTCAAGGAGCTGCGGATTCAGGGCTTTTTCTTCGCTTCCACTTCATATATCCGGATGTAACATATTTTTTAAGCTATAGTCTTGCTTCACCATCTGACTTCCGAAAGGCTTGAACTGTGCCGCAAAGTGTTCTTGCGGCCATCGTCTAATTCTTTTTTGTCACTACCTCCGTATACAGAGTAGGCCAATGTCACGTGCATGACCAGGGGGTCTGCAGTCATGTGGGCGGTGAGATATCAACTGGCAGAAAAATTGCAAAATTTCCGAGAACATGAAAAGCACGAACATTATATCATAATAATAGAGAAGAGAAAGTTAGCGAATCCTGTACAAGAAGGAAAGGAAATCATTGTCATCTCAATTTGCTCTTCCAATTATCGTCTGACTGCATAACGAAGATTACTGTGACAGTCTAAGCTATCTTCCCCTCAATTGACCCCTCCTCCCTTCTCTTCTTCTTTCCCAGTCTTTCTTCTGCCCACTGTCGGTGGGCGCTCTTCATCACGTCTCCCGCACCGCCCGCCGTCTTTCTCTTCCTTTCTCTACCCCTCCGTTTAGAACGATCCGCAGCTGGTTCTGCTTTTGCCTCGCGCCTCCATCAGTCCTCTCCCTTTTTCTCCCCGTTTTCTTCTTCTCCTTATTTTTCTGCCTTCTCCCGCCGAAACTACTCCAGCAAGAAGAAGAAAAAGATGCCTCCCAAGAAGGCCGTTGTCCAGGAGAAGGTCCTGCTGGGCCGTCCAGGAAACAACTTGAAGAGTGGTATCGTATGTGAGCATTGACCCCACCGTACTATTTTTTTTCTGCCCTATTTCCCAGCCTTTGCTTTTTTTTTCCCCCTCCCCTATTTAAATCACAATTCCCATCCGGCAACAATTTTCTTCCTTTACATCCTCATCCTACATCATGTAGCTTTCATCTGCTATACTCACACAGATGTGAAGAAACCAACATCCAATTAACAATGGCTTTTTAATTAGGTCGGTTTGGCCAACGTCGGCAAGTCGACACTCTTCCAGGCCATCACCAAGTCGTCTCTGGGTAACCCGGCCAACTTCCCCTATGCCACCATTGACCCCGAAGAGGCTCGTGTCATCGTCCCTGATGAGCGATTCGACTGGCTTTGCGAACACTACAAGCCCAAGTCTCAGGTTCCCGCCAACTTGACAGTGTATGATATCGCCGGTCTGACCCGCGGTGCCTCTACTGGTGCTGGTCTGGGAAATGCTTTCCTTTCCCACATTCGTGCTGTCGATGCCATCTTCCAGGTCGTCCGGTGCTTCGACGATGCTGAGATCATCCACGTCGAGGGTGACGTCGATCCCGTTCGTGATCTGACCATCATCAGCGAGGAGTTGCGGATCAAGGATATCGAGTTTGTTGAGAAGGCACTCGAGAGCTTGAGCAAGCAGACAAAGCGCGGCGGACAGTCTCTTGAGATGAAGAAGCTGCGTGAGGAGGAGGCCACTGTCGCCAAGGTGCTTCAATTCCTGAAAGATGGAAACGACGTCCGCAAGGGTGACTGGGCTCCCAAAGAGGTATGTTTGTGCTTTTTCTTCGATTATTTCTGTATCATCCTTTCATATGATGAATAAGAGCTTTGCTCGATATAACCCAGCTCGTCGAACAGCCTCATTTTAATTACAACACAGAGGCTGTTATGAGATCATGTCCTATCTGATTATTTTGCACCCCATTACATTCTGTTTACGCCAGTTGTGTGTCCTTCAGATACTAATTGGTCAATCAATAGGTTGAGGTTATCAACCCTCTCTTCCTGCTCACGGCCAAGCCCGTTGTCTATCTGGTCAACCTCAGCGAGAAGGACTACATCCGTCAGAAGAACAAGTACCTGCCCAAGGTCTTTGAGTGGATCCAGAAGAACTCTCCCGGCGATCCTCTCATCCCCATTTCCGTCTCCTTCGAGGAGCGTTTGGCTGCCTTCGGCGATGATGCCAAGGCCGCTGAGGAGTGCAAGGCCTTGAACACCAAGTCCGCTCTGCCCAAGGTTATTGTTACTATGCGCCAAGTTCTCAACTTGGCCAGTTTCTTCACCACTGGTGCAGACGAAGTCCGTCAATGGACTATCCGCAAAGGCACCAAGGCGCCCGCGGCCGCTGGTGTGATTCACACTGACTTTGAGAAGACCTTCATTCAGGCCATCGTGTACAACTACACCACCCTGCGGGAGTATGGCGACGAAGCCGCTGTCAAGGCGGCCGGCAAGATCATGACCAAGGGCAAGGACTATGTTGTGGAAGATGGTGACATCCTCCTCATCAAGGCCGGTGCTGCCAAGGGCTAAATTGATCAATCAAAATTTGGATATAGCTCATATAGGCTGATACCTTGCTTGGGTTTATTTGTGATTCCTACCCAGACATGGTAGAAAGTACTCCATATCACGAAATTTGAAAATTCAAAGTTGCGTACTTGTCGTGTGACCACGGATAGGTTGAATAGCGTATTACTCCAATTTAGTATGTAAATTGATATTGTGCCTTGCAGATCAGGCACAAAGAGAGCTTCAAATAACACGTGACAGCTACGGCCCCTCCCCGCGTTAAGCCCGTCATACCATTGGCGCAATTCGTCGGAGGTCATGAAGGAAATAGCAGACTGGTTGGACGCTGAGAAAAGCCCAGCGACCGACCATTGACCTCTCCATCGCATACCACAAAATGTTCAAGAAAGAGTAAGTACCCTGGGAGTCCAAGTTTGTGTCCTGGGACACGTTGGGTTTTGTGAGAACCTCGTGAGAGCCAGCAAGCCATAGTTATCTGTTACCCCTCCGCAAACAACAAATGTCGAATTCTGCCCCAAGACAAATCACTGCATTGCTGCATTACTGCGTATCTGACTCGAGCAAATCGATGACGAATGCTAATAGAAGATGAAATAAAGTATCCCCCCGAGCGGCCGCTCAAAAGTCAAGTCCTCGGTGCAGCGCGGCCTGCGCCAAAGATTCCTCGACACTTATCCCGGCTTCGAGCCGTATATCGATGAGATCCTCCCCAAGAAAGCCCAGCTCGATGCCGTGAAATTGTAATTCCCCCATACCAGATATCCCTTGGAAGGGGAAAAGACGCTATTGGCTAATGATGGAACTGCTACAGACCGGATAGAGCGACATTATACACCATCGAATCGACTCCCCTGTTCTACCAGCCCATGGATGGGCCACCGATCCCGCACCTCAAACTGCTTCATTCCTACCCTGATGCATTGCCGACGGTTCAGATCGACCGGGGCGCGATACGGTTCGTGCTTTCAGGCGCGACGCTCATGGCGCCTGGGTTGACGTCGCCTGGTGGGCGGTTACCGGATGCGGAACATGCGTTGGAGAAGGGGCAGGTGGTTGCGGTCATGGCTGAAGGGAAGGAGCATGCGTGTATGGTTGGGCCGTTGAAGGTCGGAACGGAGGAGATGAAGGAGAAGAAGAAGGGTGTGGTCATGGACGAGGGGCATTATCTAGGCGACGGCTTGTGGAAGATGCATTGGGATTGAGTTGGTTCTCTTTTGATAAATGACGAATGATTTGATTCCTTCTTTTTCGCTTGGATTGCCAAGTGATTATGCTTTACATGGAAGCAGCACATATATGCCATGGCTGATGAAACTCTGTCTCGTCAATGAAGATGACTTTCATGAACATTCCGACTGTTGAGCCTGATAGGCTTAGGGAAACGTCTATATACGGATAAAATTCAATTGAATACAATTGTAGAAGAGAAGCTGCGACACGCTCTTGCGTACATGCTAGTGACCGATCGCAGAGAATGTGCTCTGATCGTCTGTCGCGCTGCCCACAGGGGACCCTTGGTCCTCAGAACTAATCCGTTGTCGCGAGTGTGGGGATACGGACGATGTTGGCGATAATGTTGGCCACGGTGGTGAATAAATGCCCAAGCCTAATCCTTTCGCACTGATCCCCGAGCCGTTCAAGTTCAACCCGCCTCCTGATTGAACTGCGTTTCTCAGCCCGACCCGCGAGATAGCGCGTCGAAGCATATCCCCAGATGCATCAAGAGCAATTAGGAACCGCGCCAGTTCACCACAGAGCTCCCAATCACTATTTTGCGAGGCAAGTCCAATGAGACGGACAACATAGTCCTCAATTGGAGCCTCGTGACCACCCTCGCCTTCGTCCTCCATGGCTTGTAAGACGAGCAGATACCCCACTGCCGTCTTGAGCGAGTTGAGCCTCAGGGCTTGTTCAAAAAGATCCTTCGGAGGAGGCAAGTGGTTGAACAGTGTGCGCCATGAGCGAAGCTCGGTCTTTCTCGTGCACTGGACAACAATGTCCAAAAACACTTTAACCGGCAGTGATGCTTGAAGGAATGAAATGACGGATGGCAATAGTGGCTCGTGTCTTTGTGAGGGATCATTTGTCTTGCTTTCTTTCCTCTCGTTATCAACCTCGTCATCCAGGACGTGGTGCAAAAGCATTTCCAAGGCATGTGGGAAGTATGAGAGGTGGGAGAAACGTTGGCATAGTGTGAGTGCTGCCGCGATGTCTCCACGGACAAGATCATGTTGTAGGACATATGGTAGGAATAAATGAGTCTGTTCAACATCAGTACATATGGCAACATGGGTGACGTGTATAAGGGAAAAAAGAAAAATGGAAGATCATACCCTTATAGCGAATTTCAGAGCTGCAAATGTGACATCACGTCTTTGTATCATTTCCGACTCGACACCCAAAACTATACCCTTGTTCAACAGTACTGACAGTGGGTAGAAGTCCAAAGGCACTTGTATTGGCTTTGGCACTTCCTCTCGTTGCAGAACGTCATGCACATCTCCCCAGACGAGCAATTCCTTGCCACAGAACATCCAGAGGGAGTCCCGCAATGACTGATCACTATGGTGGTACGCACTCAATGCCGCCTCAGCCGAAGGGCTGGCTGGAATAGACTCATCCACCGGCGGTGCAAAATTGAAGGAGAATTGATCTCGCATCAAGATATAGTACTCAACGTCGTGAGAAATCACCCGCATATCATATTTAAGTTCGCCAGACTCTGCCAAGGAAGGTTGCAACAGAACCATGTTTCCGTCAACCAAGAGTAGCACCGATGCCACCTTTACATCCTGAGACGGGTCACCGTTTCCTGCCAGACGTTAGAAACTGCCACATTTCAATAACCCATGAGAGTGATACTTACTCATCTGGTCCTCCGGCAGTACCCAGCTAATCGCCCGAACTCTGGTAGGTGCCCGCACAATACCATTGAACGCAATCTGACCAACAGGGACAAGGGTTATCCGTTGCTGCATCGAGTTGATAATATAATGGTATAAAATGTTATCATAAGTGTAGACGAGAAGGGAGTCTTCGCCAGAAGGTCCTATGAACACTACCGGCGAGGGAAGGTGTTCTGTGTGCAATATTGAATGCCTGTTCAAAGACAGTTCTCGGGAATATAGACGCAGCTGTAAAAAACCATCAACCTTCTGTTGCTTCAAAACAGTTTAGTGACACTCAAAAGACGAACCTCGTAGGAGCCATCGCTTTCCACGGCGGCAATCAGAATGTGCCCATACCAGCACATGCCGCCGCGAACGGCAAATGAATTCTCTGTCTTCGGATCTTCGAAGACTTTCCAGCGACCACTGTTGACGCTGTAATGCGCCAGTCCCCGTCTACCTGCAATGGCTATGTATCGCCCATCTTGCGAGACGACGCTCGAGCGGATCGGCCACTGGGAATGGAGATACGCTGGAGGATACTGTGCATGATGCCACAACGAGTCCTTGCCCGAGATTGTCATAAGATCAGGTAAATCATGGCCGCGATACAAGATGACTTCTGTGCCAGTCTGTAACAAGCCCCTGGCTAGATTAGCTGAAGAAAAACACCCCGTAAGAGCGCTTCGGGCTGTTTCAAGGATCCATATGCGACGGTCATTCCGCCCTGTCAATAGTATGTCTGACCCTCCGCCTACCCAGCATCCATTGGATACCCCAGTCAACCAGTCTTCAGAATTGTTTGCAGCGAGTGATCTATCCACCGAGAAGCTGTTTCCACCCGGTTTGCCAAATACGCTCCATGTTGTCCAGCCATGATCATAGCCTGCAAAAAGACAATATCCATCCGGAGAGTAGGACATAAAGTTCAAGATGCCAATTGTAGTAGGAGAAGCGGGTAGTTGGAGCTTGTGTGAGAATGGAACATTCCCAAGATAGTCTTTTGCTGTATAGACGAGGATCTCACCATTGGCGCAGTTCACTGTGAGCAACGAAAACCGGGCATTGATCGCGACCTTGACTGCTTGTTCGCCATCATGCTTCGGATCGTGGAAGCAGTGGCCTTGGAAAAGTTTCCTTGGAGAGTCTGCTGTGCTGGTGCTCTCCGGGAGTCGTTGTACGGCATATGCTTGTCCCTCGCTGGTAACCCACACCAATAGATTGATTGCTCGATCGTAGACCATATCCGTGATAGAGGTGCGCTTCGAAACATTCAGAATACGACTGAGTAGCTCTGATGTGGTCTGGGCTCCGCTGGCGTCAGGAGCCCACCGAATGCATTGGACAGCCGCTGGTTTGACGGTGGCTACAACCAGCTCCCGGTCAAGAGCCAGAGCTTTGACAATACCAGATTCGATCTTGATTGCCATCCGAAAGCGGAGGCTGACATCACGCACCGCATTCGCATCGTCCTCCGCGGACAGTCGGGCGAGTTGGTGACGACGGTTCTGACTCGATTGATCGAAATGTTGTTGATATACGCGACTGGTGGGATCAGTTGCAATCGTATAAGTAAGCAAATATCCACCCAGTGTCTGCACAGCAAGTATCGTCGAGTCAGGATGCATCAGAACAGAGACATTCGACCCATATGTCTTCATGGATGAGGCGGAGCGGGCAATCGCAGCAACAACTGCGGTAGGCTAACGGCAAGTCAGCAGATCAATTCACGCTCTATAACAACCAACAGGCTCGCAAGGGCATACTCTAGTCTGCCAAACAGCTATCGAGGAGTCGGTCATCGTCGCAAATATGTGACCGCTCCGAGAAATACACAGACCAGTAATGGCCTCATTGGCCCAGGCCGACCCAGTTTCGGGCCCCTCTCCCTTGACATTGTGATCCGTTGCAGATCTCTCCTCTTCGGCAATCTCACGCTCCTTTGCCTCGGGCTGGATATGTGAAGTAATTGGAATCCCTGGGCCATTGATCGCATAGACCCGCGGAACTCCATTTGGCCAGTACATGGCTCGACTTGGGTGCGATAGTCACAGACAGGAGGAGGAGCTCACATTGAGTCATCTTCGACTGCTCTAGGATGGAGTTTGATGTGTCAATCTCGGGACATTACAATCCCAGAGAGACCCGCCGCGATTATCAAAGTCCTCCACGTCTCAGCCATCAATTCAACGAATATCTGATGTGTACGATTGTATTCGAGCCGACATGTTGATGATGATCCAATCGTCACGTGTACCGGAGTTTCCCTGACAAACAGAACAAACAAAGCAAACACCGCGGGCGAGAACCCCCCGCATTCGTTCAGCTTCACGAGTATTCGATTGATTCTCCAGTGTTCCGCTTGCTTATCTGTCTTTTAATTTTTTTTTGACTTCGATCCAATCCGACCGTTTAGTGCGATACTCAGTCAGTTCACAAAATGGTAAGATGGTCCGGCTCTCCAATACGCCGTATTCATGGCAGATCAGTAACTTACCAAGTCCTGTTCCATCTAGGCTCCCACCGAGTCTCAGAAGCGCCTGGCGCTTGCGATTATTGACTTTTTAAACTCCAGCCTGAAGGATGGCACTCTGACTGCGGATGACGCTGAATCCATTGAGATCGCTCAGTCGTGTATTGCGGACACTTTCAAGGTCGACCCCTCCGATGTCAAGGACGCCCTTGGCGGACAATCTCTGGCGAGCATTTTCAGCGTCTACGAGAAGCTCCGTAAGAAGCCTTCGACAGAATCCGCCAGTGCTGGAGGGCAGGCTCAGAGCACAGAGGCACAGCAGCCCAAGGCTGGTGCCCCCACACCCGAATCCGACAAGTTGAAATCGGAGGGAAATGCAGCCATGGCCCGCAAGGAATACAGTAAGGCGATCGACCTTTACACTCAGGCCCTGTCCATCGCCCCCGCGAACCCGATTTATCTCTCCAACCGTGCTGCTGCCTACTCAGCCTCCGGTCAACATGAAAAAGCTGCGGAGGATGCGGAACTCGCCACTGTTGTGGATCCCAAGTACTCCAAGGCCTGGAGTCGTCTCGGTCTCGCGCGGTTCGATATGGCAGACTACAAGGGAGCAAAAGAAGCCTACGAAAAGGGTATTGAGGCGGAAGGTAACGGAGGTAGTGATGCAATGAAGAGAGGTCTGGAAACCACCAAGCGGAAGATTGAAGAGGCCACCCGTGGTGCCGAGCCTCCTGCCGACGATGTCGACGATGCCGCTGGAGCATCGCGCGGTGCTGGTGGAATGCCTGATCTTTCCTCTCTCGCCAGCATGCTCGGTGGTAGAGGTGGCGGCGGCGGTGGT